AACAAAAGATTATATACTTACACACATTTAAACTATCTTTGGGAGGATTCACAGGAAACTTAACGGTTTCCAGGTAGAGGAACTAGGTAGCTACACAGAGTAGAAAAGGAGATTCTTTTATCTTTTTAAATTCTTCAATTTTGAATCAAAGTGAATTCATTCCTACTTGGTCAAAATATAAATGAAATGTAAACAAAGTAAAACATTAAGACTTTTAAATTCTCAGTAGTAAGAGATAAAACTGGATGCTTTGGTTTTTGTTTAACTGAAAAGTGACGTGACCCTTTCTCAAGTCACAGGGACATCCATACAGCAGCAGCTTTTCTTTATCTTACATCTAGTAGACCCAATGGCAGCTAAAAAGCAGAGAGCCATCCTTTCTGGAAAAAGTCAGAAAATGGTGATTTTCTACCCAATTAATGCTTTTAGGAAATAGCATCTTATCAATGTTTTTGATGTTTCTTGCCAAGCAAAGCAAGTGCTTATGTGTGGCTGTTTTTCCTTTCTAGTGCCCCCAGAAATACGGTGGGTGGTGGGCTTCAGTCTCTCAGCACCAAAAAGCAGTGAAGCCTACACTTCTCAATACTGGAGAAAGACTTTAAAAAGTATTTCTAGTATAGATCTAGCCTTATATCATAAGAGCTTCAATAGAGATGAGATTGAGAACTCCAGCCAGTACGTAAGTAGCATCTTTTCTACTGTTGGTTTTTCGTGTTTTTCATATAACTAATTTGATAACCCGTTATATTCCAAAATGAATTTATAAGGTTTGCCTTTTCTTATGATTTGGATTTTGACTAATCTGAACCACACTCTCAACTTAAACCAGGAATCAGAAAAGAAGATACCTTGCTTTCTGAGGTTTATCGAGTGAGTATAAAAGCAGGGCAAGAGACGATACAAGGTTTGGAAGACCCCAAATGCCCCAATGACAAAAGAAATTCCCAATTAAATGACTAACAGTATTTGCTACCTTGGGTTAGGACATAAATGTGCTTATGTTAATCCTTATCTTCTGTCAAGTTATACTCAGCACCGAGGGTAGAGACGAACTTCTATTTCCCCCACATCATTGAATACCTGCATTGATATAGTGCAGTGCTCAGTAAATACTGCCCAAGTAAAACCAGTGTCATCTCATAGTTGCTGCTCTCAAGAAGGAGCAAGAAATTTAATCTACCATTATAACCACAGAAACACTACACAGAAAACTTAGAAAAACACAGAAAGTGCAGAAAATAAAATATTTCTAGGTGGTACTAATAAATAATCTCCCTCATTTTTTAAGAGGCCTCCAGGGCTCAATGAATTGTTGTGGTTGACCAGGTCTTTGACAAATTTGCAATCCTCCCAAAATCAAAGACCCCAATAACACTACATTTAAAAGATATGACAGCATTACATTTTCTTCAGATGTGTCACATGATAAAGCTATTCCCAGCTCCTTTAGATGTCTATAATGAACCTAGGAAAGCTTAGGCAATTTTCTGCTGTGGGAAAAGGCAAAACATCATGAAAATGGCAACTATGTTCCCTTCAATATTTGCTTTTGGAACATTTCCAAATTTTAAGACAGAGAGGATTACTGGTCCAAATAAATCATCTCAGTCAATTCAGATTATATGAGATGATCAAATTTTAAATAAACCCCCCAGAGATGCAGAATGAAACAAATTGCATATTCTGGAGAATTAGAATAGACACTGTGCATTAAACTGATTGGAAGTTTACTTGGCATTTTACATTTGCTCAAAGTTAAAAATAAGTGATAACAAGTTTACTTGGCATTTTACATTTGCTCAAAGTTAAAAATAAGTGATAACAATAGCAAAATCTACGTGAATACTTGTATCTAACATTCCAGGCACCAAACCAGTGCCAGGCACTTTACATGCAGTACCTTATTTAAACCTCACAGCCCTATGAGGTTATGTGCTATTATTATTCTCATTTGACAAATAAAACAGGTCCAAATATGTTATATAACCTGAACTAGCCTTTACCTCAATTACTTAGATTGGAGCATGGATTAGAACCCAGGGCTGACCTTAAAACCCACGCTAGCAATCACTATAAGGTTTGGGTTCCTTAACTTTCTAAAGAATGGCAGATTTTGACTAAAATGGAAATATAATAAAGGGTAACAGCAAACACAGGTATCTATGTGTGATATAACCCACCTCCTTGAAAAAGAATGGAAGCTACTAAGTTTTTCAAAAAGGTGTCTCCTCTCTCTCTACACACACACACACACACACACACACTCACTCTCTCTCTCTCTCTCTCTCTGTCTCTCTCTAAAAACTGGACTTCAGTGAAATCTGGCCTGCACAGAGATGTGAGGTGGACTTTTGTTTGGCGGGAGCCCTTTCATATAACTATTTTTTTTTTTTTTTTTTGAGATGGGAGTCTCACTGTATCCCCAGGCTGGAGTGCCATGGCGCAATCTCAGCTCACTGAAACCTTCACCTCTCGTGGATTCAAGTAATTCACTGCCTCAGCCTCCCAAGTAGCTGGGATTACATGTGCCTGCCACCACACCCAGCTAATTTTTGCATTTTTAGTAGAGACGGGGTTTCATCATCTTGGCCAGGCTGGTCTTGAAATCCTGACCTGGTGATCTACCTGTCTCGACCTTCCAATCATATATACCTTTTAAAAGAGCATAAATTCACTGTTTAGAGATGCCTTAAGTCTCATCCTTGATTATAATTTTCCTGAGGATCATGATCTCTTCATTTTATTTCTTCTACAAAGTCTCTGTGAGTATAGGGTCTCATGAGAAGGCATGATGCTGTGGAATAAATAAAAATCTACCTTTCCAAGAATCTCTAGCTTATGGTGATGCCTTCTATTTGTTTTCTAACTCTGAATATTAGAGAAAAAAAATTAAACAATTTTTTTTTTTGCTTCTGAAAATTACAAAATTCTAACTTTGATTACTGTTCTTAATTTGGGCTTCTGATTATCACCCAAGAAGGGCTCTTTTTATCCTAGTATGTTTTCTGAAGAACCACCTATATGATGAACAATGCTTCTATTAAAAAAAAGTTCTGACAGCCTCAGTTTATAGTTTTAAAGCCAAAAGAAAATTAAGGCACTTGCCTAAAGCTCCATAACTTGTTGGTAACAAAGTCCAGATGGCAGAAATGAGAAATGAACCTAGGTCTGATTCCTGGATTGCTTTAGTTCCACCTATTGACCTGAATAACAAGGCAACTCTTATTACAATACTCCTGTTACCTTCCAGTCAACTCATTTCTGAAATCAAAGTTCAACTTAACCTGCGTTAGAGTAAGAATGCAAAGCTTCTAAATGTTCAGATAAAGAGCTCATGATTAAGACAATCAGCATCACAGTTCACTGACATAGGCAAATGATTCATATATAAAGCTACGTGGTTATAATTACTTCCTTGGATTACATCAATCAGAAAGGCTACTACCCATACCATTGACTTGACCAGAGACCTCTAGAGAGCTGGAATCTTAATGTCAAGACATTATATTTTGTATTTCCACACATGCAACAAAGCATCCCAACCATGTAGATGACTCAAATATGTCAAAATTCAACCCACTGGCAAAGTGGACCAACAAGTAGCAGGCTCCTACTCAACAACCTCATAGCACTAGGATAGTTGGGAACTATTCATTTAACAACAAATTACTTCAAGTTGTTTCACTGAACACCTCATCCTCACAAGGTCACTTCCGTAATATTAGGCATGGAGCAAACAGTTAAGATTCTAACCACGTTTATTTGTGTACAATTTATTATTGCACTAATTGCCTTTCCAAATGGCATTTCCCCCAGGATCTAAAGGAATATGAAGGATATAGTTTCCAGGACACTTAAAAGGAGCCCTTTTCATACTTATTAAAGGAATATATTTACTAACAGAATCGATGCTATATTTCTTAAAGCATAATTTGAACTGGAATTCTGAGTGACTGCTAATGGGTATAATGCCTCTTCTTTGGGTGATGTTCTGGAATTAGTGGTGGTGATCAATGCACAACTTTGTGAATATACAAAAGACCAATGAAATATATATACTCTAAAGGGTGAATTTTATGATATGTCAATTAAATTACAATAGAGCTATTTTTAAAAAAACAACAATTTGGAATACAAAATAACATAACTCTGGTTCTCTACATAGCCTTACTGTGAGCTACTGCCAAAGGTTTGTCAGTAACCCCCTACTAGAATATGACATACTTTAGGTAAACCAATGAAAGTTTGGTATCTAAAGGATTTTCATCCCTTATCTTTAAATAGTATCATTTTCTTATTTCTTCATTTCTACTTTACATCAAATAATAAGCTCATTAATTAGTTCACTCATTTCGTATTCTTTCAAATCCAAAACAAATGCTACACTGTATTAAATAGTGAAAAATAACTTTAACTTGGATAAATCCATTATTTTGAGTTTTAGGCTCATATTTTGTGCCAATAGTATTAATACAAGTTAGAACTTAAAATCAAACATTTCAAGTAAACATTCCTAAAATATTAGAAATTAAATATTTCTAATAAAACATTTATGTGGTTTCTTTTGCCCTTACTTTTCCACAAAATAAGTGTCACCAAAAACCTTTCAAACAATATTCACAAAATGATAACTGCAATCATTTTAGACCCCTACTGAGATATCAGTTTATGTGTGCCTGTGTGTAGATTACGTACATACACACACAGACATACATACACTAGTACATACACGCACACACCCCACAACCTGCTTTAGTTTATTAATCATATAAAAAAAACTTAGACAAGATTTTATTTTAGGAAAATTAATGACCTACAAGTGATTCAAAAGCCCATGTCATCGTAAAAGATAATGTACATGAACTGATCATTCAGCCATCTGAAGCAACAGTAGCATGAAGCTTCCAAAACTTTATGGAGACCATTTTTTTAAAGTTTGATTTAAAATATTATCAATTATAAAGAGCTTTTCATCAATCCGACTTTTATTGAACACTTACTATATTCCAGGCTAGGTGGTGGAGAAAGAGATGCAAGACAGGCCTGCCCTCAAGGAAGTCCCATTTTGATTGCTTGCTTTTGTCAGGCACAGCACTAAACATGTTCACTTAGAGCATCTGACCTCCTAGGTTTAACGTTAACCACAGCAGGGGAATCTGAGGTAACCATTACAAATGACTGTAAGGCTGCAAGACTGGAAAAAATAAAGTTTAGAAATAAAAGCTGTTGTATGTTTAGACCAAATCTAAGTCTACTTCCTAATATTACACTTGTACTTCCAGATATACTGCTTAAAAAATGACCCAGAATATAACTATACCTTCCTTAGCAGACATGACTTACATAATTGTCTCATTTAAAGGTCCATCTATTGTACTTCAAAGCATCCTCTTCCATGAAAGGATACTTCTCTTTACCTTCAAATCAAACCTCTTCATCTGGGTACGCTACTAAACAGTTGCTGAATGAATGAATGAATGAAAAAAACAGATTTCTAATTGTCAAGAGGGTACTCGCTGGATGCTTATCTCAAAACACAATGGACTGACGGACCAGAATTCTGCTGGAAAAATCACTGAATTTCAGAGGTAAAAATAGTAATCACTGGACAATGCCATGTAGTCAACATATTATTAAATTCGCAGTAAAGACCAGGCGAGGAACTTTCGGGAATAAAAATGAAGTGTTCATCAGGGTACTTTAAAATGGCCTTGGTTCTACCATCTCTGAATTGGGAACACAAATGTGAGACAAAGAGATGGGAGGGCGGGGTGAAAAAGTCAAAAGGTCACCACCGAGTGACCCCCAAGAGAAATGCGCGCTGACCACTGAAGCTCGGGCCGAGCTGGGTGGACACCTCCCGCCCAAGCCACCGGCCTGAGCTCTGCCTCGCAGCCCAGAGCTGAAGGCCACCCCGGCCCTTTTCAGCGCTGCTGCCTGCGTTCGCCCAGAACGTTAGCACAAAGAAACCACCGAGAAGCAAAATACGGTCCCCATGGGCTCGGGGCAGGCTTGGGGACCCGGCGGCAGGAGCGCTCTCCTCGGCTCCTCGCCGCCCGGGAGGCAGCCAGGGAGCGGCGGGCCGCGGAGATGCCTCCGTCCGACCCTCGCCGAAGTGTTTCAGAACTTGCCACCCACCCCCCGCTCCATTTTCTCCTCCCGACTCGGAGGCAGGACCCGCGCAAGGAGGACGCGAGAGGACAGGCGGGCGGGGCTCACGGTGGCGGGCGGGCGGACAGGCGGCCGGCGGAGCGCGCTCAGGTCCCGCAGCCCCACGCCCCCTCGTCCGGCCCCCGCCTCCGCGCCGCTATTGTTCCCGCACCGCCCCCGCCCGCCGCGCGCTCTCGTCCCCACTCTCGGGAGGGGGTCACGGCTGAGAAGGCTGCGGCGGCGACGGCACAATAACATAAACACGGCGGGGCCGCCGGCCGCCCTGGCCCTGCGGCTCCCGCCGCACTCACCCGGCAGCGCAGCGAAAGGCGACAGGGAAGCCCGCCAGCGGAGACAGGGGCCGTCCGGGCGGTCGCCGCGGCCGCTACCCGGCGCAGCTCGCGGCTCAGCTTTCCGAGCCGCGTCGTCCGGCCTCAGCGGCTCCGCTGACTAACAGGGACGCGGGCCGTCACCGCGCACGCCCGCCTACGTCATCGCGCAGGGCCCTGCCCCCGCGCTTCCCGAGCGGCCTGCGGGGCGGGGCAGCCCCGGGGCCCGGATTGCGGGGGCGGGGCGCCGCCCGAGGGCGGGGCTACTCCAGTGGGCCGAGGGACTTGCGGAGGTGGCCTGGAGGCGGAGCCGCGGGGAGAGCCTCCGAGGGCGGTGGTGAGGGGCATGGCCAGGAGCGGGAGGGGCGGGGCCCTGAGGCGGCACGTGTTGGCGCGTGGCACCAGGGGACCGCGTCTGGCTGGCACCGGTAGCCAGGTCCTTGCTTAAGCCTTCGGGCCTCGCTGGCACAGGGTTGAAGGGCAGGTGCGCTTAGGCCAAATATGCCCGGCGAACAGGCACTCTTCCACTCCATACACATCTGAGCGATGAAAAGCTGTTTACCTTGACCAACAGTAGTTCCATTCCGAGGACACCTGTCCGGGTCCCAGCAACCCACAGAGAGATAAGTGTTCTCTTCACCTGCCCTAGAAAAGCTGCCTCCTGTTTTCCCAAAATCCACGTCCTCCGAGATTCCTTGCAAATCCAACTCTTCCCAGATGCCTTGCATTACCTGGCTTACCTCTGAGGCACCACAAAGCGTGTAAATGTTACAGAAGCGATAAATTGACGAGCCCTTTAAATATCCAACAACGGGTGGAAATTACCTACATCAATTCGGTAGAATACATTTTAGCAATTTAAAGGCCATGTGTTCAAGGAATTCTTAACAACATAGAAAAATGTTCACAATATATCATTAAGAGAAAGAAGCACAAAACAGGTCTTATATATAGAATGATCCCACTTAGATACTATATATACACATAGAAAAAACCTGGAAAGAAATACACCAAATTATGTTAACAGTCGTTCATCATTGGACTATGGAATAAAGGGTGACTTGGTTCTCTTTCACACTTTGGGTATTTTCTCATGTTTTCCGAGAATAATAGTTATGTTCACAATCGGAAACAAGTAAGTTACTTTAATAATAAATATATAAATATTTACATATTTATATATTTTTATAAATATATCTATAATGATTTGTTTTTATAATAAATATAATTTTTATAAATATTATATATATATGTATGTTGGGCTGGCCTGTTTCTGGTGATTCTGAAAAGGAACATACAGGTGATTATTCATTAATTCTCATCCCAGTTTCTCTCTCCCTCCTTTTCAACCTTCTTAATTTCCTGCCATCCTTTATTCCTGCAATAATTATTTATTGCATGCCCATTCAGTGCCAGGCAATACAATAGAGTTTACAGATTTAATCACTGTGCTATCAAAGTAATAGCAGTAAACACATGCAAAATTATCACTGTCTTATAATACAAATTGTCAAGGATACATAATATTATGAAACCAGTTAATACACTAGTTAATAGGGGCAGAAAAGATTTCCCTGAGAAACTGTCACTTGAGCTTGGAATGGGTTTGACTAGGCAGAGAATATTTTAGAAGTAACTTTGTATGCAAAGGTCCTGTGAAGAGATTGAGCAGGATAAACTGGAGAAATTCAGGAAAGGCTAGCTCTGCTGGAAGAGCAAACAAGGAGCTATAAGATGAAGTCAGGAAGACTGGTAAAGGGACCAAATGTAGGACAGCCATATTGGCCACGTTGAAAATCTTTTTACCCTAAGTGCAATGGGAAGCCCCTGACATATTCAGCAAAGGGTATGGCATGATTAGAATAGCTTCTTGAAAATATTTCTTACTGGAAAGAGGCCAGGTGGATGTAGGAGTAGTCTAGACCATAGGAAGTAGAGGCTTGATCTAGGATAATGGTCATGGAAATAGTTGATGGACATGGAAAGAGCTCAGAATTATTTAGGATGCTCAAGGGGCAGAACTTGCACATTCTTCAAGTGATGGGTTAGGTAGGGCCATGAAGGCGAGGGAGTCATCAAGGAAAACTTTAAGGTTTCGGGCTTGTGGCCAAGGATGGATGTTAATGCTGGTTCAACAAGATGGAAATCTTGGAAAAGGACCAGACTCCAAATCTCAGAGGATGTGGATTTTGGGAAAACAGGAAGCAGCTTTTCTAGGGCAGGCATGAAAATATCATGAGAGCAGGTTGTTTGGCTGTTTAAAGGCCTTTGAGATGCCCAAAACTGATGTTAAATTGGTGGTTAGATATACAGAGCTGAGGCTCAGCTAGATAAGAGACAAATCATTGACAGTGAGTGATGCCTTGAAGCCTTGGGATGGATGGGTCAGCCTAGGCCTGAGGGAGAGAGGGTAGTGAGTGAAAAGAAGAGAGGGCCTGCAACCAGTCTTGGGGAACTTCAGTGTTAAAGGGCCACAAAGGGGGAGATGAGTCTGTGATGAGCTGTCAGGAAGATGGAAGGATAACCGGGAGAGAGGTGTTCAAGAAGAAAGTACTGATCAATAATATTAAACATAACAGGAGGCTTGGAATCCTGGAGTAATAGAACCAGAAATGAGAGTGGGCGGGGAAATGAACGGGAGGTGAGAAAATAAAGGTGGTGAACATGGATGAGTCAGGCAGTGAAGTAGGATACAAGCTTATTTTACCTCTGATGGTAAGACTGTTGAGAGGGAGAGGTTGAATACACACAGAAGAAAAGGAAGAAATATATGTTTCCTGAGAAAACGGGGTGTGATTGGGCCACCCAGCCAGAGGTATCGGCCAGTACCTCCTACTCTTCACCAGATAAATTAAAGACCTGGAAGTAACAAAAAAACCAACACAACACTTAGAGCTGTTGTGAAGTGAGGGGAGTTGCTGGGAGCAGAGCTCCAGAGTTTCATACCCAGTTCTGTAATGCTATCGTTAATAACGACCTCCATCTCATTCCACAGGGCAAGCTTCTGACTTAGCGTCAATCTACCATGGTCAGCTTCTGATTGTCTACATCTAGAAAGAACATTCCACATATTTACATGTGTACATTTGTGTGTTTGTGTGTGTGTGTATGATTTCAGAAAGCATTTTTCTATTTCTAATGGAATGTAATTATCTCAGATAGTCTGTAAATTCAAAATGCTTTTTGTAACCCAGATGCAGTGTTGGGCCTCCTTCTTCTCATACAATTCTTCCTTGTCAAACTATTGGAGTTCCTTGTTAACCTGTTGAGGGTCTGACTCAGAAAAAGAGGAAAACATAGTGAATTCATGTTTCTTGTCTCTTGTTTCAGGGGAACTGTCTTGGAGACAGCTGGTCTTTGGATCCCTCTGAGGCTGGAATGGGGAAAGGAGAGAAGAGGAACTGTAGGCCTTTCAAACTCAGTGTCTGCTGAAGCCCTGAGGGATGTTCAAGAAGAGGTTGCACTCTGCCAGAGTCCCTCTTCCCTTGTCATTCCAGACCATACACACACTGGATTGTACTGAAGATGTTCCTCTGGCTAAGGTGTCAGGTGAATAACACCAAGCTGTTCAGGGTGCAGAAACTGAAAGTTGAGACTTCGATTTAGTTCCTAATTCCCTGACCTCACTCCAGGGGTGGGGAGTTGGGTTGGTGGGAAGGTTTTTACCAACTAAGGCCTGCAGAAGGGCATCTCCAAGGACACTCCGTCTCCCCGACTCCACCTCCACCACCATCCTTCTCTGTTAGCCTTGCTATCAAGCCTCCCAGTCTTGTCTCTCACCCATGTCTCCAGTCAAGTCTACTTTTCCTTTGGCAGGTTCTGGTGAAGTCTCCTTTCCCAGTTTGCAAACAGTCACCTTCTTGCTATGTCCTCACATGGCAGAGAGAGAGAGAGAGAGAGAGAGAGAGAGAGAGAGAGAGAGAGAGAGAGAGAGAGAGAGAGAGAGTTGAGGACGCTAATTCTACCATGTGGGCATCACCCTCATGAGCTCGTCTAACCCTAATCACCTCTCCAAGGCCCCACCTCCTAATGCCATTACACTGGGGGCTGGGACTTCAACATATGAAATTAGGGGAGATAGAGACACAATCCAATCCATAGTACCCAGAAACTGAAGCTATTCAGTGTTCATCCTCTGGAGAAAAAAAAAATAACAGAAATTGAATAGGAGAGAAAGAATATATGATTGAACTCATACAACTTGTAAATACGATGTTTGTTGGTTTAAATAAATAAATGTTTTGGAAGAGGGCTTTCTGCCTGATCTTTTAGTATGAATGCCCTAGCCCACCTTCAATTATTAGCTCAAAATTATTTTGAACCCAGTGAAATTTTGCCATTCCTAGCTCCTGCACTGCAGAACCTATGCCAAAACCCTGTGGCAGAGAAAAGACAACACTTCATTATCAGCCCCCTCCACCTCTATCTCCACCTTTACCACCTGGCCTTCACCTTCACCCTTCAGATGTCAAACTAAAGCTCATGCTAGACCAGTGACCCTTTGGCAGAGAGACCCCTGTGAATTCCCAACCTTTGCCAATAGTCCTACTCATTCTTGGCTAGATTTGAAAAGACTCTCTGTGGCATCACTGGGTAATGAGAAAGAGATTCTGGCATCACTGGAGAGTTAAGAGTCACTGCAGGTGGCAGGGTTTGAGCCCATCAGAAGGCAAGCATGATGTGTTTTCCTGGGGCTGCTTTGCCAGCCACCTCTGCTGGGGCATTCTAATGTTCCTGACTCAGAGGCCCTCTGATGCTCCTGAGAAGATGCTCTTGCTTCTGGAAAGTGGGGGTTAGAAGACAATTTGAAGGAATTTTCAATGGCTTCTGAATCCTGTTCCTGAAGCAGATTCCCAGTCAATGACAGCTTCACTTCAGAAGGTAAGTTGCCTCCTTCTCTTGCCAGAAACCTACAGGATTCACTCTCAGCTGAGGGTTGGCATAGCTGGGGTTAGTAGCCTGGCTAGCTGGAGGCTTGTTGTGGTTCTGGGAAGCTGGCAGAGAATAGTAGGGTTTTGGAGCTTGGGAAAGGGCTGAAGGAAGTAAAGTATCATAACCCTTCAAGGCGAGGGTCTCTTATAGGAGGGATGGCTACCCAGGAAAATAAGTGAAGGCAGACATGGTGGCTTATACCTATAATCCCAGCACTTTGGGAGGCCAAGGTGGGAAAATCA